GGATTATAAATGTCCTGCTAGGTCTCCATACAGACGAGCGTTACACTTTACGTTAAAATAAAACGTATCTCACATCCACGCAGCGTGCTTTTATATTCACATTTCATAGAAAATAACGATAATAACCAAAGCAGTCGGGTAATTCTTACACATATGTGAAGACTGCGCGCATACTAGACTTCCCCCCTCATTATAACAAAGGAACACAGAGTGAACATACACTGGTATGTAACCAAGTCTAGAGAAAACTGGACTGCCAAGTGCATTCACTTTGATCTCTTCGGACGAGAAAATGAAGTGTTGTTCCGATTCACGTCCACAAATAAACAGACAGCCCTTCGTGTAAAAGCGAAACGGTTCACGCTACTGGAGTCTGTCATCTGCCATCTTGCGTCCCTCTTTAAAAATGAAAAAGAAAACGTCTCCGTTTGGCCCCCATCAAGCCTCTCTCGCTTTAGCGCTTGAAAGAAATCAAAAGTGGATTACTGGCGTGGGTTTCATCGTTGTTTCCGAATCCAATCGCGATCAGTTCCTGAGAGCGTGCATCCATGGGTCGATCCTGAAAACGGGCCGATCTCACCATGGTATTATTTATGGGTTTTTTCCCCCTCTTCTCTCGTTCGGGCTTTGATGAGGGTTGGAATGCAGGGACAGAAAAGAGAGTTTCAATACACGCAGAGCTTCACGCTCGCTCCGCCCCTCTCAACGACCACTCCGCCAATCACGTGACTCATCTCCGCTTTGACATGAAAAAGAGGAGGGGCCATGAGCAAAGAGGCGGAGTAACATTTAAAAGGGCATCTCCATTTGGGGAATAACAAGAAGATTTTGGGGGATTTTGAATCATTGAAGTGGCTTGAATCTTTTGAATTCCTTCACTTGTTTATTGATCAGGATTTTTAAAAGAATTATGTATATACTCTTTATGTTTTATTGCTTTAGCTATAGCCTTAAAACTTAAAATTGTTCTGCTTAGGGAACAGATTGTTAACAACTAGTAAACCTTTAAAGGCAGACTTGTTATTTGTAGTTGTGATAGTTTTGTTGAAAACAGTCGTTTTAAAAAAATTAGAGGGACATTACCCACAAATGACAATCCGCTTGTTAAGTGGTGACGTGTTGGTGACGTATGGCGTGCTGTTTCCGGGTCCAAGCCGGCACTCATTTGAACTGAGAAAATATTTGTTTATGATCACTTTTTATTCATATCACACATTAAAGTGAATTTTATATAAAATCATAGTGTACACAACAATCTCTGGACTTGCTGCATCACAAATACCAACATTTTAACAATTTCTAAAAAAATTAATCAATTTCTGGACCTCGGATATTAGGCATAATATATATATATAGCGATCGAGATTTTTCGAAAATATTACAGCGCTTTGTAAACGTTTATTATTACCATTTGATAAGTCTCCCTATACAGTTTATAAGAGCGCTTTGACCCGGGAGCCACATCGCGAGTTTTCACACTTAACAAGTGGATTGTGCCATCATGTTCTCACCCTTGAATTTGTTTCAAATCAGATTTTTTTCTTGTCTGTTGAACACCAAAGAAGACATTTAATAATGCTGAAGTACTGTAACCATCAACTTTCTATGTATTTTATTCATACTTTGGATGTTAATGGTTACAGGTTTCCAGCATTGTTCCTCAGCTTTGCATTTAAAAATGGGCGGTTTGTTTGTTTTCGATCTCCTGGCTTGTGTGAGTTACGCTCTAGTAACATATCTCTGTAAACCAATAGCGTTAAGCTGCGCATGGCTGTGCTTTTTGGTACCCTTTTGTTATGCTAGGTTCTTTTTCGAAAGGGTGCCCAAAAAGTGGTATGGTACAGTTTGCTTTTTGGTACTTTTTGACAGTGGAAACCACCATAAAAGTGTACCGAACCGTACCATATCGCACCACTCAGTGGAAACTGGCCATTTGTGTTCAACAGATCAACAAATTCTGAATGGTTTGGTCAATTAAGGGTGTGTAAATGATTGCACAGTTTTTCTTTTTGGGTAAACTATCCCTTTATTCAAAAGAAGGTAATGATTCACACTCAATTGATTCGTACTGTTTTTATTTTTACTTTTTCTTATATTTCTTACATTTCTTACATAAACTATCCCTTTAATAGCAGAATTCATGCAGAATAATGTACATGTACATGTATCATGATGTTCATTTATAAACTATCAGAAATAAAGGTACTAATCTTGTCACTGGGGTGGGTACCTTTTGAAAAGGTACGTTTTTGTACCTTACAGGGGCACATATGTACTTTACAGGTACAACTTAATACCTGAAAAGTACAAATGTGTACTATCAAGAAACAAAAGTGTACCCTAAAGGTACAAAACTGTACTTTTAAGGTACATATATTTGTATCCTTTAAAAAGGTACCACCTATTTCTGAGAGTGTATAGTTCATGTTCACTTATATAGTCAATTATTTTTGCAATTATTGCTCTTTGTGTAAATGGCTGCAAGATGTCCCAAGTAGGTGTCAACTGTCTTTTCTGTGTAATAAGGCAGTCATCATTAAGTTGTATTGTCTGCAAAGCTAGAAAGCCCTCCAATAGTATCTGGCTGCAGATTTGCACATGCAAGCTGAGACATGCAGCATCACTGTGAGGGGCGGGGTTAGGTGCATGCATTAAAAGCTTTGGATGCTGTGTCAGCTTGCATGTGTACCCAGTCTGCAGCCAGACCATTTTCAATCCTTCACTGGCTTTAAAAGAACAAAATTATATTTAAAAAACAAACTTATATATATATATATCAGTTTTTTAAAGGTGGACAAAGTCCAACTCTTTAGTCTTGGTCTATTTGCCAATATGTACACCAGAGTGCACTTGTATTCTCACCAGTACTCACCAATACTGATAAATTCTGCCTCACACCTATAGAGCACATTTTCATATTTGCTGAATTATCCCAAATCCCAAAAGTCAGATTTCCTGGTTTAATGCTTAATGGACATTAATTATTGCAGAAAATACATATTAAGAAAAAATGCTTAGCTCACCATTCTGATTACATCGACTGAACTTCAGTAGGTCCCACAGCGGTTGTTGCCCTTTTAAGAGGAACTTCGACATCACCAAAAACATGATCAGTTCAGGGAATGGGTGAGAGGGGGATTACGGGGATTTCTTCAAGCTGTAATGACATGAAGTTTGTTAAATTCGCTGACATAATCCAGTCCTTCCCACATAGGAAACTATCCGACACATGACATGCACAGTAGGCTACAGACAAAAAGTCGCATGTATTCAATTCATCCCCTTCACACTCTCGTGGTGTACGTTTTATTAGAAGTGTGTTAGACTAGTAAACACATGCATTGTTGTCATTTAACAATCTCAGTCTTCTAAACAAAGAGACGGAAAGCTGAAGCTCTCGATGCCTCTTTTCTGTATGCTTTGTCCTCATGGGAACTAATTTTACTTAAGTAAGACGAAACCTAGACCCATACCTAGTCATGCGCTGGATTAGCTAATTTTTTTGCCATCGTCCTGGTTTATATATGTTGTGTAGTGTGTTGTCTGTATTTATTTGGGCCTATATAAAAGTGACGCACACTATCAATGCCACAGCACGCATTCAATAAATGAAAAGAGGTTTGTATAACATAAAATATTGTCAGACATATTTAGAAAAAGAAATATTATGAAATGATGAACATTACACAACTATATTTAAGGACACAGACTGCTGCAAGTACTAATTATCTTTCATTTCAATGGTTATACTATGCTATATCATTCTTATCACTAGCTTGTATCTTTATTTTGCGTTTGTCAGCTAGTTTAAAGGTCCCATGAAATTAAATTTTTTTAGACATCAGTATCAGTATTAGGATATCTTTAAGCAAGTGTGCTCCAAAACTGTGACAAGATTCGCGTTTAGAAGATATAAAACCGATGGAAACGTGTAAAGCTTGTAGTTTGTCACTTCTTTCTAAATGGATCAATGGTTTTATTCAGGTCATACTTCAGCTTCTCATCAAATCTTGACCAATCAAATGCTGTCTATCTGACATGCCCTGCCCCTTTCAAGGATTGTTGCTAGATCAAATATGGTTGCAGCCAAAAGTTAACGAAAATGATTTATATTATTAATTACATTTCTTATTAATTGTATTTGATTATCGTCTACGCCCACCCAACCCTGAACCTGACACAGTAATGAAAAAACAGTAGTTGTACCGAGTATTATCAATGTTATCAATTGAATTACCCAATAAATTGTATTTTAAATGTCTACCCCTACCCTAACCCTAAACCCAACTGTCACAGAACCCCTTTAACCCCTTCCAAGACGCTTCTCATTTGCTTTTTATTTGATGCGCTTGAGCTCAACCACTCTCACTGGCAGAGTGGTGATAAAACAAAAAGCTATTGGCTGTTTTTTTAAAGGGGAGGAGCTACACTATGTCCTACCGTCTCTTTGTTTTTCGGTCAAGATTACGTCAAACATTGAAAAACACTTCATGAGACTTTTAAATGAATGAAAAATTCATTAGCGCATGATGATGAACAATTATTTAATTTGTATTTACATTTTATTGTTACCAAAGTAATGAGAAGTATTAAAGCAAACGCTTGCTTAAAATTAACTACAACATTTAAAATGATTGCAATTCTACTCGACTCGGACATCAAAATCTGACATCTTGTATTTTACCAATGTACTTCATTGTGTTCATTAGTATTACACATTGTGCGAGTTATAACAAAAAAAAAGTGTTTAGATCAGAGGAGTCCAAACTTGTTACTGGAGGGCCGGTGTCTTGGAGAGTTTACCTACCCTAATGAAACACACCTGAACCAGCTAATAAAGCTCTTACTAGAAACGTTCTGGCAGGTGTGTTGAAGCAAGTTGGAGCTAAACTCAGCAGGACACCGGCCCTCCGACACCAAGTTTGGACACTACTGTTTTAGATAAATGAATTTAGAGACGAAAATGGATATTTCAGGAATTGTAAGGCAATAACATCACACTGAGACAAAAAACAACATTTATTTGCAAGCTAAATGTCTTGAACAATGGGCAAAAGCATTAAGAAAACTGTATATTCTAATGCCGAGTTCAGACTGCATTTTTTTAGTCCCGATTCGGACGCACCGAAATCACAGGCACATTGGTGCTCGTTCACGTAGTAACAAATCACACAGTGTGAACTATCAAAGACCCGATCTGAGAAAATCGCAGAGGAGTCAACGACACCCTTGAGATGTTTGGCATGCTAATTATCTGGAGCTATTCATGCAGTGTGAAATGTGTTCTGATGATAATGACATCAGCGATCACCTACAGCCAGGGCCGGAGTGGGACTGCTTTTCAGCCCTGGAGTTTCAAGCCTCAGACCGGCCCACCTCAGTTCACGACTGACTATATTAAAATAAGGACATTTCCAATTCAGTTTCTAATTACAATATCACGTTTTTTTTTTTAAGAAAACAGCTGCTTTAGAACTTCAAATGTTCAACAACTCTAACAGTATTATATGTCTTAACAATAAAAATGAGAGGGAAAAAAAAAAAAAAACATACTCAGGTGAGATTCAAACCCCGATCGGTGGCGTCGTAATCTAACGTGCTAACCACTGGACCACAGCAGTCGTAGTTGAATCACCAGTAATTTGCAGGCTACTTATATATAAAAAGAGCAGAGCTACGGTGAAATAATGAATAAGAAGACTGGTCAAATAAATTAATTAATTTAAAAAGTGTGACTGATGAGAGCAACAGATTCTGAAGCTGGGGACACCGGCCCTCGCGGCCAAAAAACGGACCGGCCCACCGGGAATTCTCCCGGTCCTCCCGATTAGCCAATCCGGGCCTGCCTACAGCCAATGAGAGAGCAGCATCTAGTATGAGTATCTGCAGGCCAGTGGGAGGTTGGGGGAGAGCACTTATTTTCAGTCTATTTGGATCTAAGAAATGGAGGAAAGAATTGTGTAAATTTGGCAGCAGCACCCGCATATGAATGATGTGTCATCTGAGCAATATCACAACCAGGTGGGGAAAAAAATTAAAGTTGAGGAAAAGTGGCTTCCAAAGCCAAATGAGCAAAATAAGTAAATTTTCTACCCCATTAAAGTCTTCCTACTTATGTAGTTAATAACAAAAGATAAACTACGTGACCTCGAGTTGTTTCAATGTCACTTCTCACATGTGTTTGGTTGTGAGATGTAGTTTGTGGACCAAAACAAAGTTGTCTGTGATTCTTCCTATTGTAAAGTCATGCAGTGTAAATCCCCCTGTCATCAATCCATCTTGCAGTGTAAACACTGCACCAATGAAACACTAGCCCAGAGAGTCATGCAGTGTGAAAACATCTGTGACACAACTACTTTAAAAATCATGCAGTCTGAACTCGGCATTAGTCTCGGTCACATTTGTAAGACATAACTCAGATGTTTCAGAAAATAAATAACCGATATGAGTAAAACATCAGATGTGCCTACTCTGCATCAACAAGCAGTTGAATGAACAGACGATTAAACCATCTAAGGCCTAAAATACATTAATATTAAGACGTTTCGTCGTGTTTCATATATTGTTATGTGCAACGATGACACAGAAACCGCAATTTCACCAATGTCTCATCAACGACACCTTTTCTTAAAAGTTAAGAATACAAATTTGGCAATAAAAATGTACTTTGTAAAACCTTGATACAAAACTATTTCTGCTACTTTAAGAGGTCAATCTGTATTTAATGTCAAACTGGCCATTTAATTAATAGCCGTCTTCAAATCTCAGTCAAATTGACAACCCTAAAAACACAAATATAAAGAGAACTCGGGCATTCGGTACAAAAATATGTTAGTTATACATGCTAGTGCAACACACAGTCTGCTTTTGGGTTCATCTGAACTATAACATACATACCTTTCAGTATGAATAATGACTGATATCAACGAGTAACTGTAAAAGTCATAAAACTGGCCACGACACAACTCTTCACACCCGCCTGAACGACAAAGATAGTATCAACAAACATCCATGCGTTTCCAAAACCAACATGTATCCCTGGAATACCAATGAACACTTACTGTAAACGTGCCCTTTCTTAAAACACAGTGTGTATTGTCACATACAGACAAGGGAGATGCAAACAGATTTGGCTTGATTATCAACCCATTAAACTACATACTTGACGGCAGTTGGTTGTATTGATCAATATGGTCCCAAAACCTCAAGACTCTCATATCCCTATTCATATTTGGTCACATACTCAATATAAATACCCAAACGTAGCAAATTAAGGCAGGTTATAATAAAACGGGACCATACATTCTGTGTTGAGTGTCTGCTGCAGTATTTGGCCTCACTATTCTCTACTGAAGGTCTGGTTTTGGGGAAATGCCCGCTGCTCATCTGTCTTTTTCTTTTTACAGGAGTGTTATATAGCCTTGACATCTATGAGGTGGCTGTGTTGGGCACTCTGTCGAAGAGTCTTGATGTTTTGTAGCCTGCGCCCATGCAGAGTGAAGCGAGACCATGCCAGCAGCTGAAGAAGGGCACAGGAAATGGGCACAAACACCAGCAGGTAAAAGCAACCCTGACGTAGCGGCACGGGAAGCGCAGGAGCTGCAATCGGGGCTTCTGCTACAGAGTTCCTCTCGAAGATGTCATATCCTGGAGAAAGAAATAAATCACAGAGAGAATGAGGAGACTTGAAGATACAGCAAGTTTATGCGAGATGAGGAAATCGATACTGTGCTTCAGCAAGGAGGCAGTTTTTATTATGGATGGATGGGCTTTATCGGACTTCTTTTGGACTGCTGATACACTGCAAAAAAAGAAACATGATTTTAAGGCAACTTGCTGCAGTGCTTTTTTAGTTGTCCCAACTTAAATCGAGTCAATTGCAGTTATTTGGTTAAAAGCCGAGACAGATCAAAAAAGCCGTGCAGCAAGTTGCCGTACAATATTAAGTCAACTTTATTTTTACAGTGTACAAATCAGCAGCCCGCTACTCACCAACCTGTTTTCATGGAGCTAATAATATGCCAAAACAATCTGAGTTTAAACTGTGCTAATTTGAATTATTAACAATTGTAATTTAATAAAACAGAATATTTAAATGCTATTAAAATCATGTTTTGAATTTTTATTTCTTAACTTGAATATTGAACATCTGAAATTAAGGACAACTCATTTTTTTTAGTTTGATATTTAAGTATTTTTTTACTTTCTGAATTCATAGATTGCAGATTTTGGGTTTGTAAAAATACAGTTTCAAATTTTCAAGATTAAAAAATTTGGAGGATCAAATTCAATATTCTAAAATTCAGATTGTGAAATTCAAATCGAGCAGAAAGTACAGTAGGTCAGGGGTGATCAACAAGGAAGAGTAGACGATCACCGAAAAGTCAAATGCAGATGATAGAATATTGAATATTGTACAACATAGAATATTGTAACAAATAGCATCTTAAGAAAGTTAAGGAATTTAAATTCAAAACATGATTTTAATGGCATATAATATTCGGTTTTAGTTAATTACGATTGCTAATAGTTCAAATTGAGATTGTTTTGGCATATTATTAGCTCCATAGATTTCACCAAGTAGGACATGTTCCTGAATTCACATCTATGTTGATCCTGGAACAACATTCCAATCAGCCAATTAGAATTAAGAGATACGTTTTCCGTTTAGGCTTAGGGCTACGTTTATGCACTTCTACATGATTGTAATCCAACTACTATTATCCTCTGATTTTGGGAATAGTTTACAGCTATGGTTGGGTTTACGGGAAAAGAATAGGTATAGATTACATTTCCAAACAAAAATGATGTTCCAGGCTTAACATAGGTGTTAATCCAGGATCGCATCGTGCTTAGCAAAATCATTATGTATTACTTCAACCATTGTAGAGCTGGAAAAGGCCAGAAAATTATTTAAATTACTCTAATTGGATTTGACTGACATAAAAAAACTTGTCTTCAAATTGAGTAAATCATAGAATTTGTATTTTTGAGTGAACTAACCCTTTAAATTAAAAGATCGAACTAGTAAAAACATTTAAAATGTTTTTAAATGTTATTATTATTTTTTTTTTTACTTTTATTTACCGGTTGTGCATCCTTACAGATATTTTTATGATTTTTCATTTTGTTTACTATTGGCTGTATTTATGCAAACAGTATAAACGTTAATAATAAGGTTGTTTTTTATTAATCTTTTAATAGATCACACATTTACTTTCAGAAATCAATTTTAGATTGGGTACAAAAGGGCAAAAATGCCAACCACTGAAATGGATTAAAAATAAAAGAGAAAATATTCAAGGTATTATTTAAGTAGAAGCCATTCATTAACAGGCTTCCATTTCTGATGACAAGGCTTTAAAACGTTAAAAATACAACTTTAAAATATTTTGAAAGCTAATAAAATATATAATATTAAGCTGTGGAGCAGAAAAAGAATATTTTTTATTTTATATTTGAAGCCTGCAGGTCAAATGGTTTAATATTATATAATTTTAGTTATGTAGATTGGCTAGTATGAACAATGTTTTGGTAAATATTATCAGGTATGATGCTGAAAGAAATGTATGTCAGTGAAAGTGTAAAAGAAATATTGAAATATGATCCTTATATGATCAAATCCTAAAAAAATGCATCAAACATCAAAAAACCGTAGTCATAGTAAGCATAAGAGTTATGTATATAAAGATTCCAACCAACACAAAACTTAAAACAGTTTTGTAGTAACAAAATAAAGCAAACAAACAAACTTTATGTAATAGGAAAAATGAGCTATGAAAAATGGGTATACTACTATACACATGGAGAAAATGTTCATTAAAATTCACACATTTTTTTGAAGTACAGCAAACTGTACTGCAGCTACACATATTAAAACATGAAAGTTTAGTGAAATGAGAAGAAAAGATGCTTCATAGTTCTTCCTGCATGAAAAATGCTCTTGTTTGCGCATTTATATTTCACTTTGGATCCACCATCTGCTAAATAAGTGATTGGAAATGATTCAATGTGAATGTTACTTGTAATGCACATTTATTCACACACACACCTGTATAGAGACACAGCAGCCAGGTACCAATTAGAGGGGCAAAGGTCTGGCCAGGCTTGGTTACCAAGGCAACCATACCAAAGAGAAGAGCAGAAGCTGCCTGCTGTCTGCGGTTCATCACAAAATCCTCATCCACCAGATCTGTGATCACCAGATTCAGAAGCTTGCAAGTGCCCTCGGTGAAAACACGATTGCTAAGAAGACACAAACAACAATCAAAAACTAGAAAAGACTGAAAGATTCAAAGACAAACACATATGTTGGCACTAGTGATTCATAAAGACTCTCCATAAGCGTAATGTATTTTATACTGTAAAAATTATTATTACATTGCTTATCCCACCCCTAAAACCAAGTCTTATTGATAACCAATGACAAATTTTGAACGTCAAAAGACCCTGTAAGTATGATTTAAGCATTTTGAACAACAAAAGCATCAGACGTGTCCCCATATGATGTAATAATTAGATCATACCCATATCATAATAAAAATGTCTGTCCTTGTAAATCACTAAAACCAGAAAACATACACACAGGCACACTTTTAAAAGTTTAGTTCAATGTGATTTTGATGTGGTGTTAACATAAAACTTAAAGTTACAAAGAAAATTGAAATAAATGAAAACACTGAAAATAGAACTTATATAAAAATCAACACCAACAACAGTGTCTCAGTACTAAAATAACACTGTTTTGATGACATATTTGTGGCTTTTTGCGAAAATACAGGCTTTATTACACCAATTGTTTGGTATGTTCTGTTGTAAAATCTGCTTTCCATGTATAAAAATAGAAGCCTGAATATTCTATCAAATATCTCCTTTGGTTTTGCTGGAAGGAAATACACGGTTGAGTAAATTATACTAAAATGATAATTAGGCAAAATACTCCTTTAAGACTGAAATCATTTGTGTAAGATGGATCAAAATTAATTCATATAACACAACTAAAACATGTAGTATATTTAATTACAACTACAACCTAAAATCTTAAAAAAAAAAAAAAAGATTAACACCAGTGCTTAATTTGTAAATTAATAATTCCCGGAACAAAACCAGGAAATAAAAGTTACCGTGACCCACGTCCACCACACACTATCAGCTTTCCCAAAAGATTACGTCATTAACAGTGATAGCGCAAAAAAAAAAGAAAAAAAAAAAAAAGAGACATTTTTTGTTTCTTCTACATTACAGGTCAATCATGGATAATAAAAACATGTTGGTACAACAATAAATCATATGAACATTCACTATTCAGTTCACTTCACTATTATTGTGAAGTGAAAAAATTAGTAATTAATTGACTCGGCCTAATCTTCAAGAAAACCCAACAGTTACCTCTATGTTTTCTTGCTGACTCGAGATTGCTTTGCTTCTGTCTCCCACTATCCTGATCCAAGGGTGCAGTTTCATCTTATGAAGATTTCTTTTGACCAGGCTCATTATCAGATTTACTTGTGGTTTTAAAAAATAAATATATGCTTGACTGCCTCTTTGCCATAATGAAAAAACAAATACTATTTAGGTTGGCCACTATGCGATTATTTATTTTCACTGCTCACAAAACAATCACTAACCAATCAGAGTGATTGTGAACATAATGAAGCTGATTGGCTGAAAATATTGTTGAGGGCCAATAGTTAAACATATCTTTTGCTTTAACTTGCACACAGCCTTCGCTTGCGCTCATTCACATCTCTCTCTCTCTCTCTCTCTCTCTCTCTCTCTCTCACACGCACACATGCAAGCACCACGCACAAGTTGATGCCATTAAAATAAATTCCCGAATGCAAAACACGAATTTCTGACATTTTCCGAAACAGGATCCAGTAAGATCCGACTCAAATTAAGCTCTGATTAAACTTAACAAAACATTCTAGAAATTCACTTAATTCATAATTCTACAATTAATTCTAACAATTAAGACAGGACATTCCAGCTTTTTCTTATCTCCTTCTATTATGTCTCATCTTAAAATAACATTGATTTGCGAGAAAACAAATGCACGCCTGCTCATTTAAAACAAAGACTAATAAATAGGCCCACACAGAATCTGCGAGTGCAGAAATTCACAGATGTCTGCAGATTTTTAGCCATTGAGATGTATTTACTGGTGTATATGTATGTACATTTATATTTATTCAGTTTTTTAATTAATTTCACAAGCATTATTGTGATAATAAATAATTAATAATAATAATAATGACAGTAATATTAAAATGTTCATCTGATTTACTTACAATACAGTTTGTAAAGTAATATTTTCTGTCGTTTAGTAGATATACTACATGAGAGACTTGCTTTGTTTACCAAATAAGTAAACCTAATTGGATTTGCATTGTAAACATTAAATCAAAGTTAAAAACAGATTATATTTCATATATTAAGTTTTTAGTTACGATACTCCTAAAATCATTTAGTATAAATCCGCAGATTTTTTACAAAATTCTTTGCTGAAATAGCATAAAATGATTCTGTATGGCCCTACTAAAAACCTAATCTTAACATTATGAATTGCATTTCACAGTCTGACCCATTTCTCACCTAGCAATAAAGATGCAGAGCAAGTAGATCTGGTCGGCCCCTGCTAAAAGCATGGCCACGCTGAGACCCAGCTTCAGCATGAAGAGTCCACGAACCACCTGATACACACCCAGTCTTTGGCACAGCGTCAAGAAGTAGAGATTGTTCAGATGAGGTGCAATGTAAGAAATTCCTGTCTCACACCAAAGCAGAGAATTAGTCATATTTAAGCATATACAATGATGGTTACACCTAATTCTGATGGTCCCCTTTAAGGCCTAATTATTCATTCATTTTCCTTCAGCTTAGTCCCTTATTTATCAGGGGAATAGCAGCAGAATGAACCACCAACTATTCCAGCATATGTTTAACGCAGTGAACGCCCTTCAGGTCACATGAATTGCTCAGGTGTAAGTTTTTAACAGAATCTTGCCGGTTCTGTGGGTTTCGTCAATCAAATCTGATCTTTGATTTGTATTTTATATTGGATTCAAGTCAGGTGATTGGCTGGGCCATTCTACAGCTTGGATTTTCTTTCTCCGAAAGCATTTCAGAGTTTCCCTGGCTGTGCTTTGGATTATTGTCTTGCTAAAATGTCCACCCTGGTTTCATCTTCATCATCCTGCTAATGTAGATGTTGGACTGAAGCAGCTAATATTCATTTACTCTTAAGAAAGGGCAGGGGATTGCTGAAGAACTACTGAGATCTGAGTCTGGGCTTTCACTGCCTTTCTACACCTCCCTTTCTTCATGTGTTCAATACTATTCCCTGCGTCATTTTATTTTATTACGCATAAATTAATTTGTAAACAAATTAGATTTGTTTTCTGTGTATATATGGATTTCTTTGGTTGTTACCAACATCCAGGGAAAAAATCAAGTCAACAGCACCTTTAGAAATATGTTTTCTGAGATAAATGGTGACATGCTTAATACTTATTTTCCCCGCTGTATTTATATCATTATCACCCCTGAGCAATTGTAGTTTAAATACATTTACTAGTATACATTTCTCGAAGGTTTGCTTATACTGTAGGTAAGCTCTAATAAACTCCCCAAACAAATTTAATCTTGCCTGAATTTGTTAAAAATGACACAACCTTAGCTTATTCTTTGATCCAAGCCTTTACACATTCTGTTGACTGAGTAAAATTCACTTTACTAACATTTAGGTGTAGTGCTTACTCAGTAGAGGATTAGTCTAGGCTTGGAGTTAGAAGAAAATGTATGTGCAGAGATACATATCGTGCAGGTGGTTGGGAAACCATCAAAATACAGTGACACCAAAATAGCTATGTAAATAAATGATTTCTGTCTGTCTTACCCAGCAGGAAGGACCCAGTAGAGGCAGAGATTCGGTCTGACAGGAGGTGCTCCAGAAAAAGAGGGAAGAAATTGTTGTTGAAATGGCAGTGGAATACCTGCAGATGGAGGATACATATATATATATATTCAGTTCTCCAGTTGAATGAGTGCACTTCTACTTTGCTTCACATTTGGACTCATAATTACCTGCACAAGGTTCATAGAGACAAACCACATGAAGTTCTTGTGGCGTGACAGCTGCTTTAAATACTCGCCAAGTGTGACCGGCTTCTCAGCTGAGGTAAAAGGAGCTTGACCGATACTCAGTCTGTACAAATGTCAAAGAGGATTGACAACCCAACAGAAGGCAGCAAAAAAAAAAACAAGGAAAAAAATAAGGTTAAGGACAAATTCATCCAATAAAATATATACAGTTAAAGTCAGAATTATTTAACATTTCTAAACATAACTCATTTCGACTAACCGATTTCTTTTATCTTTGCCATGATGACAGTAAATAATATTTTACCAGATATTTTTCAAGACACTTCTATACAGCTTAAAGTAACATTTAAAGCCTTAACTAGGTTAATTAGGCAAATTAGAGTAATTAGGCAAGTCATTGTATAACAATGGCTTGTTCTGTAGACAATCGAAAAAAATATGCTTATAGAGGCTAATAATACTGATCTTAAAAAATTAAAAACTGCTTTTATTCTAGCCTAAATAAAACAAATAAGATTTTCTCCAGAAGAAAAAAATATAATAGTAAATGCTGTGAAAAATTCCTTGCTCTGTTAAACATCATTTGGGAAATATTTAAAAAAGAAAATTCACTGGAGGGCCAATAATTTTGACTTCAATTGTCAATTCTGATTGGCTGAGCTTCTAAAATATTTCTATGTTACCTGATAACTGTCAAAAGCTTGCACACAAGCTGATTATCTGTTTTAATGCATAGAAAATTCTTATATAGATGATTAAAACACATTTAACTACTTAGAACACTTGCATCCATTATAACACTTATGCCAACATTTTATAAAAACTTGCAACTTGCGCAAGACTGTGTGGGTGGATTAAATAAGAGAGAACAGAGCCTTCACATTCCTTACAGAAAATCTACACCTGGAACAGTTCAAATCAAATTATAACGTATTTAAGTTAAAGTATAAAATTAAGCCTGAAATGTAATAAATGTACTATTATTTCTGTTAGTCGTTTTGTTAGTCAGTGCAACTTTTTGCATTTTATTTAGCATACAATTTATTATTTTTGAAGTGTTGATGCTTGATAAGTAAAGTCAGTGGTATAGAAAAATAAAATAAAAAATGCTTTACTTGATGCTTTCTTTCCAAAGCATGAAACTAGATAGTGATTGGTTGCAACCGAAATTGAATACTTCCATACTATATAGTACATCAAAATCAGTATGCAGGCCGAGTAGTATGTCCGAATTCATAGAATTGGAAAAACAGTATATGAGAAGTGACGTAACTGACATGGGTAGATCACGTGATCATGACAAAATGATGGATGTAGTCAGAGTTCCATTCATACTGCATACTTTTCTAACAGTCGAATACATTCAAATTCAAATGCAGTACCTACTGAGTAGTGGACAATTTCGGACGCAGCCAGAGACATTAGCCCTTTACACACATACAGAATTTTCAAGAAAATGACTGGTATTACTGTGTGAAAAGAGCTATAAATATTAACGTCACTTTATAAAAGAACTCTATGTATCTGCAAATATGCATTCTTGTAGTCAACCGTTACTATTTAGGTTGTCAGCTACTGTGAACGGCTAAAGACTAAATTATGTAACAAATTTGTAAACAACATTTCAGTATCCATAAAATCATGTGTTTGTTTGTTTTTTCTTTCACAGAGACAAATTATAGTATTGTGTTCAAACGTTTGAGTCACAAAACAATGATGTGATGTAAATGAATGACTACATTGCATAAGGTTTTCAATATTAGTTGATAAAAAAAATTATTATAACAACACCTGAAATAATTCTCTTTGTTCAAATAATCATGTAATGTAATGTGTAAGGACAACAGCACCAGTGCGCTCACCACACACCAGCTATTGGTGGAGAGACAGTGATAGAGCCAATTCAGTGGATGGGGATGATTGGGAGGCCATGATCGTAAGGGCCGATAAAGGGACTTTGGCCAGGACAACGGGGTTACACCCCTGCCCTTTCACGAGAAGTGCCATGGGATTTTTAATGAACACAGAGAGTCAGGACCTCAGTTTAATGTCTCATCTGAAAGACGGCGCCCACTGAAAGTATAGTGTCCCCTTCGCTATACTGGGGCATTAGGATTCACACAGACCACAGGTTGAGCACCCCCTGCTGGTCTGACTAACACCACTTCCAACAGCAAATTGGTTTTCCCAAGTGGTCTCCCATCCAGGTACTGACCAGGCTCAGCCCTGCTTAGCTTCAGTGAGTAACCGGTCTTGGGCTGCAGGGTGATATGGCTGTGGCTATTTCATCTATTTCCTTGTATGGAAAACAAAAGTGGTCTCATAATAATACTCAACGTTTAATGAATTAAATGCAGCAGAAATGCAAATTTTTGGTCAAACAATCCTTTCAATAAAGTATTTTGTTTTTATCTATTTACTTATTTATTTATTTTTAAACGTATTATTACTTTTTTGTATTTATTTATTTATTTTATTTATTTCAGTTAATTACCTTTTTTGTATTTATTTATTTTATTATTATTTTACTTTTATTTGTATTTTTAGTATATTGTATCTTTTATTATTAAAAGATGTGTAAATGTTTGTTGGATCAAAGTTTTATAGATAATTGAATGTTTTATTTGTTAATTTTGAATATTTCAATTTTAATGTTACTCTAAACTGCTTTTATATTTGCATCTTTTTTGTAAGGCTTGGCAATTTAGCCTTAAAATCAAAACCTCGATAAATTTACCTCGATTACGATTAATTAACAATTATATTATTTATTAAATGAATTCTTTTAAAATAAAATGTCGATTTCAATTAGTTTGATTAATCGCCCAGCTCTAGTAAACCGCTTTGAGAATTAAGTTTTAAAGGCGCTATATACAAATAAACTATTATTACTATTAAAGTTGTTTGAATTCAGTTTCAGTTTGAATGTTTGAAAAACCATAAAGAAAGTTCTAAAAAATAAATGTATAATCCTTTCAGTATCAGTGCTGGTAATGCAAATACATGATGTTCATATCTAGCGCTATCGGCATTTCTCCCCTGAGCAAGACAGTTTAACCCCAGGCAGCTCCACGGGGACTGGCTTTGCAATTACTGTGGTGTAAATTGCTTCGAATGAAAAGTACCCGCTAAGCGACAAGTAACATTTAGCACGCTCTTACTCAGTGAGTGGCTGGCTCTCGGTCTTGCATGGCTGGACTTCACTTTGAAACCGGTGCTGCAGAAGTCGCGAAACAACAAAGAAGCCAAGCATGGAAAGAGCAGCTAGAGTCACGCAGAATATCCTGAAGGAGTAGAAGTCTTCCTTGTTCCAGAAGGAGTACGAGAGAAAGACGGACACGGAGCCGATGGCACTAAATAAGGAGGTGTGGAAGTTGAGACGCGTGCGGTCGTGTGCGGACACCGCCAGGTCGGCCAGGAGAGCGTTGTGATTGAGGTCGACCACTGTAAGGAAGCCATCGTAAAGGCACAGGCAGATGAGGAACTGCAGGCCAGGCCAGGTCCAGGCCACCCAGAAGGCCAGAAACGAGAGGGCGAAAAGAGGCCCGCTGCGGGACAGAGCCTGCAGCCGCTTCAGAACCACCTCAGGGGACGTGATCTGGGAACCAGAGCTGAAAAACAGATAGAGGGAGATGAATGAGAGAAGTGCTCATCATATGGAAATGTGGATTTTATGTATAAATTGAGACTTACTGAGGAGAGCTCAGGAAGGAGCGGTCACTCAGCCAGCCAAAGAGAGGGTCGTTTAGGCTGTTCCATATTAGAAACACAGTCTATTAAGAAAGAAAAAATGTAAAGACTAAAGTAAAACGCATTAGCATACTGCTATTCAGAGTACAGGTAAAAAACTTTGTTCAACTTTGTTTTAAAAGTTAGTGGTGTACAAATGAATCGTTTCCTCAATGCACCGCAATGCAGAGGTGGACAATTCAGTATCAGTTCAGTAACAGATTATAACCAGTCATTACGTACTGACATCATTTATCTCATATGTGGCGAAGTGATGTTTTCTCTCCTCTTTCAGCTGTTTCAGAACAACTTGAGAGTGTGTTATCTCCACCAAATCTTTTCAGATAGATGTGGATGTTCTTTAGTGTCAGCATCACTGCTTGGTGAACAGCACTGATGATTAGAGCCAATAACAGCCATTTCCGTTGGGCAATCGTCAAGTACTGTGATTGGCTATGGACTGCGTAATTATGTAATGACATATCAGTTTTACACGGATATAAAATAATAGTATCATTTTCAAAAGTGTATTTTTAAGACCCCCAAAACATTGTTGTAATGAAAAAACTCCTACTAAACTACTAAAGGAGGTTGAACTTTCTCATTTATGGCTGAAATAGCCTTCCTGATAATGTCCGAGGCTCAGACACACTCTCTCAGTTCAAAACTAGATTAAAGACCAATATTTTAGTAAAACATACACACAATGCATCACATAACAGCATGATGCATGAGTGTGCTCCACGCAGGTGAGTGGGCTTGACAAACCACCTGTAGGACACACTTGTTCCGTCTCAATACAATT